ATGACAAGAGATATAAGAGTGTTAAAGGAGTTAAATTGAAATGAAAGAGATGATGAATGTTAATATGAACAATAAAGGTATCATGAGTACAAAAGGAAGAATGAAAAGAAAAAATATATCTGGAAGTTCTGAAAAGAAGATGTTCACATATTATTAAAGATCTGCAGATATAGAACATGGTAATAGAATATACAATGAGAAAAATAAACCTAAAACATTCAGTCATTATTAAAAATCTGCTAAAGGTGACCTAAAAGACAAGACAATCTTAAATTGTGTTATCAATATAGAACTGGAATTAATAAGAATGAATGTGAGGCATCCATTTACTATCAAAAAGCTGTTAATATAGACAATACTGAAGGAACCATTAGAGATTATGAAAGCAAAATATTCGATTACCAAAAGGCTGCTAATAGAGATAATATCAATATATTAAATGTTGACAAAAGTAAAGAAAAGGATATGATGGTTAGTATAGTAAAAACTAATAAAACACATGAAATAAATGATAGAGAACCTGAATACTCACCTGATCTAAATAATAAAATGGCCCAAAAGAGTAGAGTTACTGGCAAACTTGATAATGAAGTTGGTGAAGATGAAATGATGATATTGATGGAGGCTCTGTTAGATGTTGTTACAAAAATGATACATTGATAGAAGGTTTAGTGAAAATGTTGAGAAAATAGAGAAAATTGAATGGTGCTAAAAAATTTATAGTTAATAATGATGGGTGAAGTTGCAGATGATAGAGCAAATAAACCTAAAAAGTACTTTCAATATAGAATTAAAAATGATAAGGATTGGTATAAGATAATCAATTACTACCAAAATCCTGCTGATGCTGCTAATAAAATATTTGTTGAACATTGTTATCATTATGAAAATAGTAGTAAAAAAGACAAAAGAAAGGTGTTCGTCCATTATTAGAGACCTTGTGAGATAGAAGCCACGATGGAATAAATATTGCTAGTGATTGTTATCAACAGATAATCAGTGTTGAAAAAGATGAAAGTAAAGCCTTTGACTATTATTAAAAATCTGCTAATATAGAAAAGGCTAATAGAGTAAATGATGTTGGGTATTGTTACTAATATGATATTGAAGTCGACAAGAATGAAGATAAGTTATTCTTTTATTTTCAAAAATATGCTAAAATAGTTCATGTTAGTAAAGAGAATAAACCAATTAAACATGAAGGCCTTAATTACGTTAGTGAGATTAGTAGTGCCACTGAGAACTCCAATAAAGATAAAAAGAAAGTATTTGAATAGTTTTTAAAATCAGCTCAAAGTGGAGACCCTAATGGGAGGCTCAATGTTGGATTATACCAAAAAAAAGGCATAGACACTTCTAAAGATGAAAGAAAGGCATTTGAATGGTGCTTAGAGTTTGCTAAAACCACCAATAGAATGCTTTGAAATAAAGCCATTAAAGGTGAATGGTATGTGAATTTCAAGATAATGCTACCTAATAAAGTAAACAAAAGAACAATTGGAAATAAAATATTGTTTATAGACAAGTGTGGTATTGACCAAAGCTAATATTAGGGCATGGAAAATAAAGCCACAAGGTGCTATAGTAAAACAAATCGAATGCAGAGACTGCTTGAAGTGGGTAACGGTAGAAAAATCGAATTTCTTAAGCGATTGTATCTTGATCATATGATCAGTTGCAATGAATTAGAAAATGCAATATTTGGAAGTCATTTGAATATGCGCAAGCTAGAAGGTATCATGCTGGAGTTTGTAAGAAGTTGAACTAACAAATTATTAGCAATGTTGAAAAAAAATTTTTTTTAGTTATTAAATAAAAACTGTATTGCATTTGTTAGAGTATTTAGATAGAATTAGTTTGGTAGTAATGTTGGGTATTGTAAGTAGATAATTTATATTTGAATGAATTGTTTTGCATGGGGTTGAAACTTCAGAATGAAGTTCTAAGAGTCTAGCTCATGTTACAGTATATTTTGGTACCTTAGAAATTCATTATGCAATAGTTCGATTAGGTAATCAGAATTTGCATAATTTAATTAAAAGTCTAATTAGATGATAGTCTAATGTATCTAATCTGGATAAATATATATCTGAAGATAATATTGTAATATATAGATCATAATCCTAATAATAAATAAAGAAATCAAGTTTTAATATATAGATCATGATCCTAATAATAAATAAAGAAATCAAATATGGCTTTGCGAAGGATATTCTAAGTAAGAAACTAAGTGGTAGTAGTGTTAAAGTGAAGAGGTGGCAGTGCCTGGTAAGATACACAAGCACCAAGTGAGTATTCTGTCTAAGTAGAAACAATCAAGACACTGTGAACTAAGAATCAATACAATATTATCAAATCTATGTGAGTTTTAACTACTCTAGTAGGTTTAGATTGCAAATAAATTAGATAGAACTAGATAGTTTACTATTTATAGTATATCAATAGTCTAATTCTCATTCTTGTAAAAAAATTTATAACAGTTGGCTCTGGCAAGAGAATTTCTTTGTAGATTTTTAATACAAATTATTAAATAAAAATAAAGACAAAACCTCACCTTAAAAAAAAAAAAAAAAAAAAAAAAAAACAAATCAAAAAATTTTTTAATTATTAATATAAATATTTCTAATCATAGTTTATTATTAAGTTAACCTATCTTATATTTCTAATAAAAGTTGTTGAGAAGATTTTTATAACTCTAATGTGGTTAAATTATTAAAATTGGCCTAGTAATTCATAAGATATGATTATAAAAATGATTTTTAATTATATAAAATTTTTGCAGATCTGCAAAGAGATTTTATACAATCAGAAAAAATCTTTTAATCAAATCTCATAAACTACTAGGCCAATTTTGATAATTTACCCACCATTAAAATTTTAAAGATCTTCTTTACAACTTTAATTAGAAATTTATAATAGGTTAACTTAATAAAAAACTATGATTAGAAGCATTTTTATTATTTATTAAATGCATATTTAATTATTTTTTATGCATTTATTATTAGGAACCAAGTTGGTGAATCGAAATTCTATTCAATTAAACAGTATATGCAATTAGGCAGTATGCATTTAGACAGTATTAACTGTAATATTAATTATGAGTAAGTTTGTAATTATGATGAGATAATAAAGTTATAATTCATTATGATTCATTGCTCTATTTATTAAGTATTACTCATATATATATATAAAATTTTAATGCATCTTACATTTATTTAATAGTATCAAAAGCAAACTCTAAATTTACTGATATTTACTATTGAATGATTTTTAATATTTGTACATTTTAGTTAAACTAGTGAGTATAAAGCTATTAACTATTATTATTATTTTTTTTTTTTGAATTTGCTATATACATAATAAGATTAGTTACAGATTCGTATTAAGATGATGTTAATTTTGAACTATTTATTATATCTTGTATAACTACCTAAATATAGCAAAACACCTCTAAATTTTCTATTTGTAAACTAATTTAAGACTAGCTACTATTAGTTATAGGAGAAGAAAGAGGAGGCCCAATAGTTAAAATATAAGATTAATAAAAAATATAAAAAAATAGAAAGTTTTGATTAGTCTGGGGCCCTTTTAATAAAGGCACCACATGATCCTAATATCTAATAAAAGCGATAAGCCGAAGAGGCTAATCTTGACTATAAAAAAAAAAAAAAAAAAAAGTTTTAATTATGCCATTTTTGAATAAATGAGTCAATATTATAATTATAAATTGTTGTTATAGGAGTTCTAGTAATGGTATTTGGAAAAAAAAGTTTGATTCGATTGGACTTAAATGTGATATTTCTTGAGGATTCCCAGTCATATTAAAATCAGTTTCTAGTTTGCCAAATGTTTAAGTTAAACTAAAAAAGAAGATTATTAGATAGATAGAGGCAGAAGTTAGTAGTATTTTTAGTAAAGATAGATTGTAGTTAGTTAGTAATACAAAGAGGAATTGTTCTTTGTATAAGAAAAAGAAAGTTTTTTATGAGTATTAGAATTGAGTAGTATATTTATAAATGTTACAGGGTTTTATTTTCAATTTTGAGTTCAGTTATTGTTTGAATTGTATATTGGTTAAGTATCTAATATATATCAAAAAGTGCTTGATAATAGTTTAACAAGTATAAGATATCTTCAAATTGGTTGCATTGAGTACAATTAGGAGTTAAGTAAAGATAAGAATAGCGAAGGTGAAGGTTGGACATTGTAGGCAGATTGTGTAATAGTATTTTAATTCATAAAAAACAAATTAAGTTTATAATTACAAGAGTTAGTAATAGATGTGAAAGTTTAATATTGAATTGAGGAATGTTACAGATATTTTTGAGTTGAAAAAATTTGTTAAAGATTTCAATAAAAATTAGATTTTTTGTAAATTTATGGATTTGTAATGTAAGTGGAGTATTGTACTATGAAAAAAAGGAGTGTGTTATAAGGTGATCTAAATTAAGTTCAATAGATCATCTGTTTGGATCTCTTTTTGCAAGAATGTCTGCATTCTAATTTAGAGCATTTTTAGAGTATACTTTAACTTTGTGTATAGTGAAGGATATATTTTTCTTTTGAAAAAGATTGTTGATAATATGTAGGTAATCTCAGTTTTCAGTTTTGATTTGTGTAGAGTGGTAATAAGGTAAATTTTTAAGAATTTGAATTGTAGAAGAATTGTCATAGTGAATATATATATGTAAGTTTTGTGATAAAAAAAGAAGTATAAATATGATTGGTGCTAGTTCAGCTCTTGTGGTGTTAGAAGCATTTGTAATATTAGCAGAAAATTTAATTTTGGTATTATTTTCTAAGATCCAACTGATCCCAGTTTGAAGATTTGGTGTTTGAGTATTTTTAATTGATGTATCTATATAAAAGTGAAGATTTTTTGATGGTGTTAATTGTATTTGTTGATAGATATTAATGAGTTCTGTTTGGTATGCTAGAGTAATAATAGAGTTAGTTATAAGTTTAATATTAGAATTTTGTATTTAGATATATGTATTTTCTGAGATAATGGGTTGGTGTAAAAAGGAGGAAATTTGTGAAAGTAATAATATTTCTTGGTAGTTGATTGAGAGTTTATAAGTTTGTTTTTATTTTTGGCTTTTATAAAGGTAGTTGACTGCAGATGTAAAAGAAATTGTAGATATTTATGAGGAAGGTTGAAGAGTTATAATGCCAGAAGATTTTTGAATAATAAGATAGTTTTCAAAAAGAAAGTTGTTTTGTGTTATAGAAATAATTTTCTCTATTTGTAAATTAGTCGTAAAGAGGAGAATTGTCCAGTTATTTTTTTAGAGATTGTAGATGATATTGAAATTAATGTAAATATATTAGTAAATGGATTAATATTTTCTAGTTGGGTTGATGGCCAGATTGAGAGTAATGAGTTATTAGTTATTAGATTTTTAATATATTTGTACCAAGAAGGAATTGGTCCTCTGGGTGATTTGTGTGTTCAAAGATAAATATTGTTCCATGGTAGAAAAAATTGATTATCAGATGTATGAAGTTGTTTTATATAAAGAATTTGATTGTTTTTTAGACTTTGAATAGTTGATAATTTAGGATTTGGAGAATAAAATTATAGATTATATTTAGTTTGAGGTTATTAGAATTGTTTATATTATTAATTAGATTACTGATATTAATATTGTAGTTTAAAA